TTAAAGAAGGATTAGCTATAGTTAAATTCTTGTAATTTTACTTGGTTACCATCTTAATAAAACAGTAGCAGGACATGTGGAAAAGAAAAAAATACAAAATTATTATATAGGCAAAGCTTTTAGTAGATAAAAATGCACATCGTCCAAGAGCACCTATTGAACTTGAAGAACAAGTATTTTACGGTCAGGTTTTATTTTACTTTACGCATGAATACGAAGGTGAAACATCCATGCTTGCATATGTACAGTGGATAAGAAATCCAAATGTTTATGAAATAATATATTATATTTTCGAAACTTTGGTGAAACTGGGGTAATTAATGTGACCACTATAGACCATTACGTAGGATTTCTTAAAATCAAGGTAAATAAGTATATTTTAATAGATAGAGACAATTGGGTTGCATTTAGATGAGATTTAAAATAATTTTAAAGCTTTATTTTGTGACATATAAGACTTATAATAAAGTAAACTTTAAATAACAAAAATCCGATAGTTATAGCTTTCAAGCTGCAATTAATTTATTTCAATTATTTTTTGTCTCAAGATACTTGATCTTTTTTTTCTTTATTTTTTTTTAATTATACCTTTGTAATCTTAGAATAAAAATATGTCGAATTTTGGGTCAGACTGTAGCATTAAATCCTTCTTTATTCTCCATTTATTAAATAATTTTTATTTGGTTAATGTTAAATACACATTTTTGGAAAAAATGCACTTGTAAATTATGCATTTTGAATAGTGATTAATTTACATTAGACCAGTCAAACAATATGAAATGCATATATCGAGAGTACACTTATGGACGATCAACTATAATATGTAAGTATCTTTAAACTTGTATCTATTGAAACTTTAAGATATTTCCAAAGCAACAATAATTACAATTCTAAAATTTCTACTTGGACTAAGTTGATAATCTGGACAAAACTTGGACATATTTTTAATAGTTTCCTTAGAAATATATTTAATAGCAATATTTTTTTTTAACTAGAAAATTTCCTGAATATTTTCAAAATTTTATTTTCTATAAATTTTAAGCAATAATGGGTCATAGTTACTTTAAAAAAATTTTAGGAACATTTCTGGAGCAATATCAATATTGAGATTTTGGTTTATGTTATGCATATTTCAATTTGGAATATAATCAGGATGATTTCAACCTATCCAGAACAAAATCGAAATTTTTTCAAAAAAAATTTTTTTATAGGGGGTACTATCTGTATTAAAGCCTTAACTGCTTTATTTAACCGATGTCTTATCTTAAGCCAAGTTCCTAAGCAATAGAAATATAGTAGAATATAACCTATTCCAAAGTGCAACATATTTAATTGTGATCTTAATCTCACTTATCCTATAAGTCTTATTGAACACACCTGTTGTAACTATTCTTATTGATGGTAAGACAAATAGAGGCTGTATAGAGCGAATGTCGAAGCACTGTATTTTGTAAGCAGCTGTCTTTCCTCTACTGGCTTTGAAAATACACCCTTGATTCTCTTTAGAGTTGACATCGTTTCATGTATCTGAACTCTTATATGAATATTTTTTCAAGTTGATTTAACTTCTACTTTGTTGTATTAAAATCTAGTGCGTTTTCTAGAAAGATCTTTTAGTTCTTGCTTTTAGCACGTATGTTGTTTGTTTACTTGTTATTTTTCCGTTAATTCTAAAAATAGTAACACGATCTGCTGTTTGTTTGTTTGTTTATTCTTCTGATCTTACGTGTTTGTTGTTTTGTTGTTGTTTACGCATTTTAAGATCAGATTTTCAAGGTCTAGACTAATTTTCCAAAATTTTTCAAAAATTTTCTAAAAATTTCTAAAAAATTTTTTGTCGCTAAACTAAAGGTCTTGGGTACAAGCTTCTTCTAATAAATTATAAGTTATTTTAAGTGCTCTCTCTTTTCACTTAGTACAAGATATCTTGTTTCTTATATTAGATTTGGAGATAATTGTTGATTTTGGTTTTGACCAATTAAAAATTGCAGATCAGTAAAAAGAGTTGATTTTTATTAATTTTCAGTTTTATATTTATATATTTATTTATTTACTTATTATTTATTCTTATAAATATTAATATATTTGCAGAGAAATCTTCGTGAATGGTTAAATGCATGCTGTCAAAAAGGAAAATATGCATCAGAACAAGAACAAGGAATTGTTCAAACAGTTATTGAGAAAGTAATATTATAGGTTATATAATTTACTGCACCTGCGTTGTAACGCACCCACCTGATCAACCAATCAGATTGTAAGATCAGGTGTAATGTGAAATCAAAAAAATAGTGATGTTTTGAAAAAATCGCTTGTAGCTCATAAGTTGGCTTATGAAACCACCCTTTGCGTTATAACAAAAAAAATTCCTTGCAAAATTTTGGGTATAACCGATATATACTTACAATCCAAACTAATTCTACATTAGTACTAACCTTTACCCTAAATTAATGCGTTGTTTGTTTGTTTTGATTTTACATTACACCAGATCTTATGGGTGTGTTACAATGCAGGTGCGATAAATGATAAAATTCTAATATTATTATATATTTGTTTATTTTATTTTAAAAATATTTTAAATTTTTTAAAAATTTTATAATAATTCAGTTTAAATCAGACTTTTCAACCTTTTCTATTTCTGTGAGAGATTTTGTTTTGCAAAAGCTTTTGGAGAATATTATAGAAAACTGGAGTAAATATATCTCTTTAACCTTTTTAATAATAATAATATATATTGTTATTAAATATTTTATAGTAGAAACTATTTATAAGGCTAAATTAAAAGAAGCACGTAAAAAGGATATTCCTGCTCCTTCAAAACGCAAAAACATAACACCTCCAAAAAATAAAAAAACATCATTTTCAACAAGAAGTTCTAGAACAGTATTATCTCCTAGTAATACAATTAATACAACCAACAATAATAACTTTCAACAATCTTTATCAGATGAAAATTCATCTTCTTCTGAATCATCTGATAAAAGTAGTTTATCATTAATTAATAAGCAAACCACGTCTACTACTTTACTAAATAGAGGATTTCAGTCTGTACCACCTATGAAAGAAAGTGATTATTTAGCTGGTAATTATTTTATTATTTTAAAAAATAATAAGTTTTACTTTATATATTTATATTTTTAAACTTTTAATATAATCGAAGATAATGATAATAATAATACTCAATAATCGTTTAATATAATTGAAGATAACAATAATAATAATAATACTCAACCTTTTAATGCAATCGAAGATAATAATAATAATTAGCAAGATTCTGGTAAGAAAATAATTGAAGTTGACAATAATAATGATATTCAACAACATTCAGATAAAAATTAATTAATTAATTTATTTTTTAAAAAAACAAATATAAAATTTCATAATATAATTTTTTATTTAATAAAGATACTCAAGTGATGTCTGATAATATACTTAATAATCCTATTTTAAAATCTAAAAAAAAATGGTATATATATTTATTTAAAACAATATAATTTATAATAATTATATAATATTATACATATAATAAAATTAATTTTTTTATATAGAAAAAAAAGGCCAACTCAATTAATGCTCTCAACTCGTTTAATAACAAAAAAAGATTTAACTAAAAAAGCTGCAGCAGTATCAAAAAAACAAAAAAGCAATAAATCAAAAAAAATAAAATATTAAATATATACGTATATATTATTTTTAATTATTAAATTATTATTATTATATACTAATTTTATATTATAAAATTAATTAAATTATTTAAAACAGAATTTACTGATAATTATACATGTATTATACATATAAATATTAGTATAATTAGCGTATATATTTTTTTATTTATAAAAAATCATATATAATCTAGTTGTATTGCAATTATTAATAAATATAATCATGTTTTTATTCAGAAAATAATCATGATACAATCTAATTATTATCAAGATACATTCCAGTTTATTTATAAATATAATCATAAAATAATCTAATTATTAAAAAATATATTCATCACTAACTCTTCCCGACGATCACTTGTACCAAATTTTTCTTGAAAACAATTGCTACTTTCTCATAATTTTATTAAGTAAACTACTTTTGCTGCCTAAGTAAAGTTGTTCTACACTTAATTTTACTTATAAGTGGCCTAGTTTTATAGCTCTATAGTCCTTTACGACTGAGTTATAACTATATATTTAAAATTTGATACTTTTGCTATTTACTTAAAATTTTATTAAGTAAACCTCTATTGCTCCTTAATAGAAAAAGAATAAGCTCCAAAAGAGCTTCAATTTGATATATACTATATTAAAAACGGACAGATACTTTGGATTTTATTATTAAAATACTACAAAACTCCTTTACTAAAACTTTGCTAAATTTTTACAAAATTTTTTCTGTTTTTTGGGGGATTCCAGCTTCCCTAGAGCGCCCCAACTTGCAGATCAAGATTACAAATCAATATTATTAATCAAATTACACAATTTTAACTCTGTTTCATCTATTTTTACACAAAAAGCCTTCTTACTATTTTAGTTCTAATTAACTTTACACAAATTTTGCAACCCAGTGATCCCATTGATCCACCGATCATTACACTAGGTGACATTTTATTTGGCACACCCTCTAACTGTTATATACTTTATTTGTCATATCCTTTATTTATCACACCCCTTACTAAATCGACCAAATCTCTAAACTTTCAACAATGCCTACTCTTATTACTCAAGAACCAGATTTTTATAATTTGGACTATTATTATAAGAACTACTCTGACTGCTATGGACTAGGTACTACAGAAAGTAGAATCGGTACACTTTGAGTTCTTCCACCAAGCTTCAAACCTGAATCTTGTGAAACTATCAAGAAACAACATTTCTTTTCTGTACCTTTACAACCTTCTATCGGCAAATGCTATTGTGGAAAATTTCATACTAGTTTTACTTCTGCTAACTATAGGATCATACATACTCAACAAACTGCAACTACCGAACAACCCAATATCTCTCTATTTAGCATTTCTGATTCTCAATTAAGGAAAAATAAAGCACTTCCAAAATCTCTTTTAAGAGAACCTTTAGCCCAAAATATATCTCATCAAACTAATTCTCCTCAAGCTACTTCTCGTATCCTATTTCCCAACTTTGAAACAGACCGAACACCAACTGCAATCATTCCTTATTAACAACACTACCATACTTGTGTCATCTGTAAAAACAAAACACTTCTTGTATTGCTACTGAACTAAATAACCATTCCACTAACTATGTTGTTTCAGTTATCTTTAAAAACAAGCTTATTCACAGAGCTTGTATAGACCATATTAAAGATATGAAACTTATACTCTTACCAAAATTCCAATTAAATTTTATTCAACAAATAATGGTTTGCTTTATCAAAGCAGCTAATGGCGTTCTTCTTACTCCTAAACAACAACTTATTATTGTATTAGTCAAACTTCGAAAACTTTCTTATAAAGAAAAAAGTGAAATTTTATCTTCTTTATTCTCTAAACAACAAAAAAAAAATCAACAATATCAACAACAACTAGAAAACAAGCTACATGAACGACAACAAAAAGGAAAAGAAAAAGAAAAGGCTGATGATCAACAACAACAAAATAATAATAATAATGACCAAAATAAAAGTTCTGACCAACAACAACAGCAAAAACAAAAGCAAAGACCTACCAGAGATACAACTAATAATTTAGATTGGTTTAAAGAATATCCAATTTCTAAAAATATACAGCTTTTTACCAAATTTGACAACCTATTAGCTTACCAGCTTTTTGAATTTATTAAACTACACTTAATCGATGTTTATCCTGGAAAGATCACTAAAAAAGCAAAAGGTTTTAATCCTGAATCCAAATTTACTTACAAATATCTATTCAACAAATTGGCAGGCTTGCGCTTTAAATTTCTTACTGATTTCATTTACGATAACAACACTGATATTGATAGAGCTATCTCTATTCCATTCGATATTCTTTATGCAACATTAACATCATTACTTAAAGAATTTACCACTATCTTGTTTACTCAAGTTGATTACTCCAAAATTCTAACTCAAATAATACTATCCCACCATCTACTATCTCCAACTATAACCAAGTAGCATTAAACTTAGCTCATATTCACTTTATACTCCATGGGAATATCAAACAATAAACGCCAAATAATTCTTACGAAACCTAAACATTCATCCAATCTGACTCAGACTCCACTATTTCTATAATATAGATGCTATTAACCAACCTTTAATCA